ATTTCTCATTTTTAAGATATTTCCTTTTTTACTTAAACTATGGGCGCATTTCAAGAACTGAGAAGACTGCAGATAGGTCACTAAACACAGGAAGTAGAAAAGTCAGATGTGATTGCAGCTATTGGAAAGATGAGGACATACTGGCAGAGACAGGAAATAAGGTAGGGAGTTGGTTGGGATGGGATGAAGAGGTTGTCCCTTGGTTTTCCAATGATGGGGATATATTCAACATGGAGATGTGGTATTGGATAGGCTAGAGTTTGTTTCTAGAGAAGAAGAGTTACCTATAAAAGTCATAGTAGAGGTAGGGACACAGAATCAACTAGAGAGTAAAAAAAAAAAAAAAGAAAATTGAAGGGTCAAATATTAAGTTTTTTTTTGGAAATTTGGAAGAAGAAAAATTAACAGAAAAGATGTAATCAAATATGCAGGGAAAAAAACACCTGGAAACATCATGAAAGAAAAAGACAAATATAGACAAAATGGTCAAATGTCCATCAACGTACAGAAAATAAAAAATGAGAGAAGGTTACTGGATTTTAGTTAAGGTTTGAGAGCATCAAACAGGCTACAGGGGGTTTATGGATCACAGAAACCTACCATTTAGGAGGATTGCCATTTATCAGTCAATACTTCTTTCTTACAACTTGAAAGGCTGTATAAGAACTGAAGGCTCCTTTTTGCCAATTGCCCAGTCCAGATCTAAGAAACTAAGGCAAACTGATGAGCCAATGAATGGGCAGAGCTCACACACACCATGAATAGAGCTAGTGTGGGGAGAGAGGACTATTCCAGTTATAGGCCAGCAGGCCCAGCATGATGAAGAATGGAAACTGCAGTGTGGCTTCTCACTCACTTCACGTCCAGAGTTAGTGGCCAGTTTCAATGTGGAAGGGCTTTATCCAGAACCACAGAACAGATGGCTGCCCCTAAGTGAGCCATCCCATGGCACAAGGGTTAGTTTGGCAGGAAGCTTTTAGAGAAAGGTGGTAATTTGGTGCCAGGGTCTCTGCCAAAGCAAAGCAACTCCAAAATGAGAGGAAATTTCAACTAACAGGGAAAATGCTGAACCCAGTAGGAAACCCAGACTGCCATGCCACAGGCTGTGTGTCTGACTGTACTTGCATCTGAACACTGTCTTTCAGTGTCCCAAGGTTTGTCCTACCTTCCTGTGAAATGTGTGCACTTCCTATTCTTTCCTGATAGTGGCTTCCTGAAGATGTGATCTTGGCTTTGAGAGAGGGCTCTTAAATGCATGGGCTGACCTTCTGGCATAGGAGAGCTTGCCCTTTGCTTTGAGTAGCTTGACTGCATCAGGTTCAATGCACATCGGGTGGGTAACCTCCTCTTTTGTTTCCTTCCTTTGTTTCTCCCAGAAAAAAAAAAAAAAAACCTTTCCAGTGAATGATTTTCTCTCCTGTGTTAGCAGACCCCAGTATTTCTAAAAATCACCACTTCAACACCACTTTGCATTTTCCCTGATTTTTTTCAAAACCACCCGAGGGATGTATTTTCTTGCTCAGAGCTCTGTAGGGCCCAAGGACCTGTCAGTGATCTCATGGCCACTGGCCTCAAGGACACTATAGGCCAGATAGGAAGACCATATGGTTGCTCAGGAAGTAGTGACTCACTGAAATACAATAAAAAGTAGGGTCATTGTGAGTTTAAGGTGGGGAGGGAAGGCTGCATGATTTTAGGGAGTGGAAGACTTCACAGAGGCAGGTAGCTCAGAGCCTGAGCTGGGATTTGGGGGACCCTAGAAAGAGGAAAGACACAAAGATAAGCATGAGTATGATGGTGTCACTTTAATGACATAGAACTGGCAAGTGCAGGTCCAATTATTTGCTGAGAGAATGGACAGGAAAGGGAATCAATGATGTCACCGCCTGTCTCTACTCTCAAAGGCCAGTGAGAAGAGTTTTTTTCACAAGACAGTGCACTGTGAAGACTTACTTATTCTTACAGAAAAGAAAGAATCAGTGGGGTATTTTAGCGTACAGCACTGGTTCTAGGCTGGCCTATAAACAAGGTGCCTGGCTTCTTTTCCTAGCCCCCAGGCCCTCTGTTTCCTTGCCTCGTCCCACTTGGGTTGGGAGCACTTGCTCCAAGAGCTCATTGCCTGAAGTTCGTCCTACCTTGGACATATTTTAAAGCTGAGTAACTCAAACAAGCATGAGGAGCAAGTGAAAAATGCTTCTCAAACTGTCACATGCATTAAACACCTGGGGATCTTACTGAAGAGCTGACTGTCATTGCTGAGGTCGGGTGGGATTAGAGTTTCCTCCCTTCTCACAATCTCCCAGTTGATGTCCACTTAGTCCCTGTGCCACACTCGGCGCAGCAAGGAGATAAAGCATTCATAACAACAAGAGTCTCTCCACAAAGGCATGGCCCTTTCCTTTCTGCTTTCTTTACGGGGACAGGAACTGGAATGTGCACTACCTGTGACAATGGGACATAGTAAAAGTTCACTCTTTGAGTTTAGCTAGGTGACTGGGACATACTCTGCCTACCCATTAACCAGGTAACTTTGCCTAGTACCCAGTCTCAAAGGGATGCTCAAATGAACACTTCTGTTCTGCAGTCTCTATTTTTCTGTGAGAAAGTAGGATGGGTCCAGGTGAGATAGCACATACCTCTAATCCCAGCAATTTGGGAGGCCAAGGCAGGAGAATCATGAGTTCAGGGCAGCCTCAGCAACTCAGTGAGACCCTGTCTCAAGATTAAAAACTACAAATAAAAAAGATGGATGATGTAGCTCAAGAGGCAAAAAGCCCTTGGGTTCAATCTCCAGTGCCAGAGACAGAGGCGGCAGTGGGGCAGGGTGGAGGGAGCTGTGAGTTGGAGGGAAATAAAGCAAATCAACAGGGCTAAATTCTATCCATTCTTCCACAGTCTATTTTAGGGATGTTGTCTCACCTAGAATAGCCATACCTCTTGCTTTAGGACCTGAATGTTGGAGAAGACAGTTTTCCTGTCCCTTGTGTCACTGACTTATAGTGTGACAGGTTGAGGTGAGAGCATCGTCTCCTCTCTTGTGAGCTAGATAGAGGGAGTAGGGCATAATGGCTGGATCAAGGGCAACTCTTCCTCTGCAGACCCTGAAGAGAGGTATTCAATTCTTTTCCTGAATACTTTTTGAGTATTTAGGGGGACATTTATGTAGACTTTCAGTGAGCTTCATGAGGAATAGGACTCTGACCTGTAATTTTTTTTTTCTTAAGACAGTTTTAAAATATTGGTACTTAATTGAGCTACCAGTTAAAACTCCAAATCTGGAGAACATGTATTATCAATCTAACCTACTGCCAGAATTATGGACTTTCCCTTAAGGAAGAAGGGAAAGCCCTCCTCTGCTAGATGTTTCCCTATCAAATATCTCATATTATCCTCACTAACCAAAACTTTTAGAGGAAGGAAAATTGGAGCTCAGAGAGGCTAAGTATTCTGAACAAGGACAAGCAGCTTATAGGCTTGAGAGTTAGGATCTAGCATTGGTCTGTTTGGCTCAAAAGGCCCTGCTCTTGCATGAAAGATCACCTTCTTACTAAATTTTGGTCACACAAACTTGGGTTTGAATCCTAGCTCCATTGTTAGGAAGTTACTTAATCTTAATGAACCTGTATTTTCTCATCTATGGAAATGGAGACCATATCTGCTTTTAGAAGAGGGTGATAGGTGTGACTCCATCTGGCACTGAACTAGCACATGAACACACTAGTTCATTCACATGTGTGCTTTTACCACTGAGTTACATCCCCAACCTTTTTTTAAAAAAATTTTATTTAGAGACAGGATCTCACTAAGTTGTTTAGGGCCTTGCTAAGTTGCTGAAGGTGACCTTAAAAAATGTGATCCTCCTGCCTTGGCTTCCTAAATTGCTGGAATGACAGGAAACTGCCACCATGCCTGGCTTGCCCTATCTAATTTCTTAAAGTGATTTCTGATGTTGAGATTGGCTCTCTACCCTCAGAAGACAGTTCATGGTAGTGACTGGAGGTTCCAAAATACTGACAACACAACTTATGAGAATTATCTGTTTCTGAATCTTTGCTAAGAACCTCAGCCTGTAGATCTATAGATGTTAAAGATACAGCAAGACTGGAGCAAAAGTCTAGAATAAGGATAAAGAGCTGGAATAAGAATAAAAGATTGCAATAAGAAGACCATCAGACCAAGAAAGGCCCTGGGAGCTACTCTGGGGAACGTGATTCTGCAAGTAATAATACCCTGAAAGATTCTGCACAAACATTTGACTTGATGAAAGCAGTGATGGAGATATTATGGTTTATCAGATAGCCTGGAGATGGGAGAGTAATTTGGAGACAAGTAGATCAAGTGAACAGTTTCATAAAAGAAAGAACCCTTGGAATAAAGTCAAGGAATGGATTCTGCTCCTACATTGTCATCTGTGTGAGCTTGGACATCTTATTTAAACTGCTAGGGCTTCAATATTCCCACCTAAAAATTAAATCATCATTACCAGATTGTGTTGATTCCTGTCCACACAAGACAACGTGCTACAACTCAACTGACTACAATAATCCAACCTTGCAATGATGAAGGGCAAAACTAACCACGATAGAAACAGATTGTAGAGGATATAAATGTATAAAGATGTTCAGAAAGTTGAAATTACAGGGTTTAATGAATAATTCTAAGAGAGAACACAACGAAGAAAGGAACCAAGCTGATTTTGAGTTTATCCTTGGATACTATGATGCTAGTACCTCCCAAAGAAGGGATTCATTTGGGAGAAAAAAATTATGAGAAGAGTTTAAATAATACGGTGTAAAAACTGAAAATGATTAATTGAGATCAGGCCTGAATCCTCATCCAGTCCATGACCCCAAGAGTGAGAGTGTCTTCTTAAATTTGCACCCCACGCACCCTACTCATCTCACAGCAGTCCTGGTCTGATCCTGTGGAGGAATTATTAAGAGGCTGAAACAAAGGAGGAACAGAAAAGAAGAAACTGTAAAGTTGAGAATAGTCCTTACCTTTGACCAGTCTCCTGCAGCTAAATGTGGGGGGCAGTCTATTCTGGCACAGGATTTATGAGACGATGCCTTGGGTCCTTGGCACAATTCATCAGAGAGATTCAAAAAACTGCCATCTGTTAATAGCTGCCGACAGGTGACTCTTCGGATCTGAGTTCCCCCACCACATGTCCTGGAACACTAAGAAGACAAGAGGAGATAAGGCAGTGGGCTCAGCTCACTCTAGAGTACAGCAATGCAGGGCTCCTCACTGTCATAAGCATGGCAGGTCATGGGGTCGTCAATCTGCTGTACCTGCTGCCAATCTTCAATATGCCAGCCAGGAGGGCAATCAAATTGATTGCATGCTTGTAGGGCATGGGGCTTTTCATCCCTGCATTCCTCAGCAGGTGCAGGGGACTCTTCTGGGTGCAGGCAGTACACTTCCCGGGTCTGGATTCCAACACCACAGGTTGCTGAGCAGGGACCCCAGGAGCCCATGTGCCACCTACACAAAAAGCCAAGTGGGGAAAGTTGAATTGTTCAATGAGACAAGGTGCAACAGTCTACATGAACAATTTTAAGTTCTTCTCTGCACTTCTGAGTTTTATACACTGTATAAAAATTCCAGAGCAACAGCATCTCCATCAATGTATGCAATTAAAATACAGGAATGTAGTATTGAAAGGAAGATATGTCAGGGAAGTGTTTTAAGATCTTACTCCTTTGGAAAGGTCTAGTGAAAAGAAGCAGAGTTGTTCCCATCCTGCCTCACCACCATCTATCAAAAATAAAATCTTGGTTTGGTTTTGAGTAGAGTCCCAAGGCAATGATGATTTATATAGGTGTCAAAAGAAATTTTAAATGCTCAAAAACACACTTCAGGAAATCTTCAGGGCACCTGGATTCATTATTTGGAATATCCCTAAGAAAATTCCTTTATGTTAGGAGTGGATTTACAACATAAATATAATGTGATTCCTTTGCAATAAGATCTTGGAAAAATCAGATTTTCTCATGAAACATCTGTAAAAATGAAAAACCAGGGCAGTTGCTTTTAATACATATTTCCAAGTTGCCTTCAAGGAAGACTCTCCCAATTTACACCCAGCAGAAGCATGTGAGAGAGCCAAGCCAGATAATACTATTTAAAACATCTCTGTCTAAGTGATGGGTTAAAAAAATTACATGTTATGTTCATTTTAATTTGTGAAAATTTAATTTTTAGTGAAAATGAAACTAATTACTGTAGATATACATCATGAGGTAAATTTTAAATTGCTTAAAATGTACATAAAAGGATGGTGGCTCCAGAGTAGTTTGTAGTAGCAAAGACAAAAAAAAAAATAAAATAAAATTTCACAAAATGAAAAATTATCTAAATATTTAGCAATGAAGGACAAAATAATACTTGTGAATGCAGAGAGTACAAAATAAATACTTGTGCATGCACAGAGTACAATTCTAGAAGCCATTAAAGTAATAAAGTGGACAACTGACATACAAATGCATTCATGATGTTTTTATTAGAAAAGATTATCATAAAATGGCTTATAAAAATAATCCTATATTTTATGCAGCAATAAATGTATGCAGAAAATTCTGCATATTTGTACATCTAAATGTTAACAGTGATGAGTGATAAGATTGTTATTTTCTTTTCATCCTTACTATATTTTTTCCTGAATTTTATTATAATGAGCATTCATTCCTGGAGAAAAAAATCAGTTTTCTTAAAAAAAATTAGTGTTTTTTGAAAAGTGATTTTGTTCTAATCATTTCTAATTTTCTATAATAAATGTTTTATTTGTATATATAGTGGGAAATGAAATTACAAGAGGACAAAAAGGAAAATTTTTATTTATATGGAAATTTTTGTAATGAAGATACAATGATTATTAAAGTACAGAAATTGAATAAAAAGTCTAAATATGTATGAAGTATGAACTGTTAGATGCAAGAATAATGAACAGAAATATAATTGGAAAGTTTGAAAGCTTTAAAATGTTTTGCCAAGCTCTTCCCATATCAAGAAGAAAAATATTAACAAGAACATAAATTTAAGAATATATTTGAAAATATTGGTGAAATAGATAACTTTATAGGAAACTACATCCAAGAAGTCCCATCCAAGAAGGGGTCTAGACCCTGTTCCTCTTGTGAACAAATCTCTACAAAGTTTCAAGGAACAAGTGAATTCCCCAAATACTTTAAATTTTCCAAAGTAGAAGATTAAAATATTTTAATGCATATTGTGAAATTAGCCAAACCTGAGCACAAAATCTGATAAATATATAGAAAAAATTTTCATGTGAACATATATCCTAAATCCTAAATAAAAGTATAAATTATAAGCATAAAGAAACAAGTTAATAAAAAATTAAAACAATACAGAATATGTTATAAACTAAAGGTTTATGTCTCCCCAAAAGTCACATGTTGAAGCTCTGTCTCCCAGTGGGTTAGAGTTATGAGTTCAGGACCTTCATGAGGACATTAGTGCCTTTATAAAAAGACACATCAAAGAGTTTGCACTCTCTACCAGACAACAAGTAGGTGAGAAACTGGATTTCTGAAGGCCAGGAAGAGTCCTCACCAATAACTAGACCCTGCCTGACTTTGATCTTGGATTTTCCAGGCATACAAAAAATAACATGCTGTTGGTTAAGCCACCTAGTCTATGGTATTTTGTTAAGGCAGCCTGAGCTAAGACAGCTGATCACAGTGGAAGTGAAATAGGTAATCCCCAAATATTTGAAATTATGCAATAACCTTTTAATTTACTTTTGAGCTAAAGAAGGAATCACAATGGAAATCAGATTGTACTTTTAAGTTAATGTTAATAAAAATATCAAATGTCAAAATTTGTAGGATTCAGGTAATGCTATAAAGAGAAAAAAATAGCCTTAAATGCATACATTAAAAAAGAAAGATTGGCTTTAATAATCCTAGTATCTATTAACAGCATTTAAACTCATAGAAGAACATAGAAGAAAGGAAACAAAGCAATTACCAAAGATAAGAACAGAAATAAATAAATTAGAATATAAAAAAGATGGTTTTTCAAAAGACTAATAAAATTGATAAGTCCTTGATGAAATATGAAGGAAGATGAGAGAAGGCATGAATTACCAATATTAGGAATTTAAGGGGTAATTTCAAAGATATTAAAATAATGAGTGTATGTTTATAATAAAAAACACAATTGATAAATTTGCAAAGATACACAGACTGAAGTAAATTCAAAAAACCCCCCCAAAACCTACAAAACCCAGTTTAGAAAAATATACAAATGGGGAGAAATTTGACCATTTCTTAAATTAAATTTATAATTTAAAATGTTAAAAGAAACCTCCAGTATCAGATGACTTCCTGAGATTCTACTAAGCATTTAAAGTGTAAATAATTTCACCCTTACATAAACTCTCCAGAAAAAAGAAGAGGGAAAACTTCCAATTCACTTAGGTCAATGTCTCTTATAAATGCTCTTATAAATGTCTCTTATAAATAATAAAAATTCTAAACCAAATTTTAGCATACAAATGATTAAGTGACCAAGCTATATTTATACCAGGAAGGCAAAATTGATTCAACTATGGGACATCAGTGTGTAATGCATTAGCAAAGTAAGGAGAAAAATCATAGTATCCTTTCAGTGGAAAAAGAAAAACATTTGCTAAATTTTAACAGATATTCATAATAACCTTCTTAATCTGAATAAATCCATCCAAAAATCAAGTAGAGGGAGGATGCAGCGGGAGAGGGTGAAAGAATATAGCAAGACAGATAATTGAGCTCCCCTGTGTTATGAAAAATAGCAAAAACAAAGAAAGAAATAAGGTTAAAGACACTTCCCATACATAACAAACATCTCAGTGAACCAGAACTCAAATGGAAACAGTACTAAAGTACTAAGAAAATTAAAATATGTGATGTATGTGACTGTACTGAGGATATTTAAATTCTGGAAGAAGAGAATTAATTTAATTATGAGCCTCTCATTAAGTTAATGAGAGGCTCATAAAAACTAAGCAAACAAGAAATCAAAGCAATTATCAATTCTAGAGAAAACAGAAACTTCAATAAAGAAGAAAAATGAGACTATAGTAAAACATTAAACAACTCAGTTGCCCTTAAAAATAATATTTTTATTAAGGTATAGTTTACATACCATAAAACTTACCCTTTTTAAAAAATAATTTTTGGCACTGGGGAGTGAACCCCATACCAAAACCTTTATACCTCTACACCCTAGTTGTCGTCGTCGTCGTCGTCGTCGTCGTCGTCGTCTTCCTCCTCCTCCTCCTCCTCCTCCTCCTCCTCCTCCTCCTCCTTTTTAAAAGTTTTTACTTTCAGACTGGATCTCACTAAATTGTTGATGTTGGCCTCAAACTTTTAATCCTTATGCCTCAGGCTCCCTAGTTGCTAGGATTACAGGTGTGCACCATCATGCTCAGCTGAATTTACCCTTTTAAGGTAGAGCAATACTCCTTTAAAAAATAGCTCTCACCAAACTCTGGGCCATTTTAGATACTAAATACCTGACAATGGTGGAACACTTGACCATGATTCATCAGATGATCATTTAACTTAAATCATGAAATGGACATTAGCAGATCCACAAAGTTAAAACAGTTAAATGGGACCAGAAGCCTATCACTGAATGGAAATGGTACATGGTGGTGAGTGCATCCTCGAGAAATGTCTGGTGATGGGAACAGACACAAGAACCCAGAAAAACCTACCTGGACAGCACCTTAGTGTGACCTTAGGTATTTTCCTTCTGTCTGTCCTCCCTTGATTCCTGTCTTTTATGAACTTAGTTCTCCAACCTTTCTGTTATTCTTGTAGGACACCTAATATCTTTCCAAAAAATCCATATTTAGTTCAAATTAGCCAGAGTTTATATGACTTGTACCTAGGAGCCCTGAGTATATAAGGAAATATAAGTTTATATTATTTTTTAATTCTAGAAATTTTGCAAATTCATTTCACATGCAAAAAGATAAAATGAATATATAATTTTGAATTTCAATTTAGCACTTACCTTTAAATTTTAATATACATAACTATTTCTTTCTTTTTCTTTTATTGTTTTGGTACTTGGGATTAAATGCTGGGATGTTCTACCAATGAGCTACATTCCCAGCCATTTTAAACATTTTTTGATAAATTTTGAGACAGGGTCTAGCTAAGTTGCTAAGGTAATGGGTTTGTAAATTGCTGAGGCTGGCCTGAAATTACAATCCTCTGCCTAAGCCTTGCAAGTCACTGGGATTACAGGTATGAGCCACCACCCCAGCAACATACACTAACTCTAAGTTTTATAACAAAGACAGGAATTACTCAACATCTCCTTCCTTCTGTTGCTCAAGATGAAAGCACTTCTCATAACCGGTGTGGTGGTGCAGATCTGTAATCCCAGTGACTCCTCAGCAATTTAGCAAGGCTCAAAGCAATTTAATGAGCCCTTGTCTCAAAATAAAATATAAAAAAGGGCTAGAATGT